AGTGTGCAGGTTTGTGAACTCCGGGAGTGAGTGGTATTACAGCTTTATTGAGGCTTGGAGGTCCTGGACTAGCCAAGAGGTTCCATTCTGTTTCTTGACTGCCGGGCTGGTGGATTATAAACACAGTTAGCCAGTCTGAGGAGACTGTTAGAGACTGGTGAGTCTGTAATGAGCCACACAGGGAGGCAAGGGAAAGGGAATACTCAAGAACTTTAGGACATACAGTAGAATGCCATAGCTGGATAGGGGGATGATGAAGGGGTACTGAATGCATGTTTGTGTCACAGACTGTGGGACTTGAGAATCTATTTCTGTTGTGAGAGTGGGACAGGGATCCATTGGGGCAGTGACGGATGGCTGGGATTGTTCTGTGAGCTGCAGGAGGAGGCAGGATATGGCAAGCTGGAGGGAGGAAGGTAATCAGAAGGTGGTATTACATTTAGATTGACTATCTCTGCCCAGGAGACATAGTGGACAAGTTAGCATTGTTAAAAAGGGTTGTAGAAAAGGTGCATTGTAGCAAAAATATAATACATATTTTTCATGGAAACTAAACATTCTTTACTTGTTTATTGAATAAAAAAAATTGAAGGTCTCACATTTTAAAGGGACTTTCTACACAAAGAACTTCTCACTCACAGGTCTGTTAGGTAAAGTGAACCAGACAGAGGAAGAGATCAGCATACAGATGGTACTCCAGACCAGGACCTCGACAAGGACTTGACAGACCCACCCTCCAAAGAATCTTACAAAAAAACTACCTCAAATTTCAATAGTGCAGCAATACCACAAGCAAACAACTGCCTGTTAACTTGTTATTTCAAATATAGACTGAAAAGCCAACAGGCATTTTTTTTTCTCTTTTTTGGGGCACAATTCTTTAAAACAGATAGTAAGTTGCAGCATCCACTCTGCTGTTCCTTCACAGAAGGCAGGAAGTGGCCAGGAGCAGCATGTGGGTGGCCAGCCTCAGTGCTGCACGCTGTGCAAGTGGGCCTCCTTCAGGGTCTGGTTGATAAGAAAGTAAAGGCCTTGGCAGAATGCAGTCTGCTGGGGTGAGAGGCAGCCTCGGGGGTGTTGGGGCTTGAGCCAGGGATGATTTGGTTTCAGCTGCTCTCTGGTCTACTTGCCTGATCTGGGCTGCTGCTGTGGCCTCTGTCACTCTTGCTGTTGGAGGACTCTGTGTCCCAGGAATTTTGAAAGGCAGGGTTCTGACTACTCCTCTTAGAGGGAGGTGGCTGTCCTCTTTATTTCTGTTCCTTCTCTGTTTTTTCCAATGGCACCAGAATTGGTTAACCAGAGGAAGTACAGCCAACCCTGAGACAGCACAGGGTCAGGGGCTCAAGGAGGCAGGCCCACAGCTGGGCTGGTTCTGGAATAGAGTTTCAGAACCCCTGAAACTCAGCCTTTTGTTGCTCCATCCTTCCTCACCATGCCTGCTCTCCAATCCCTGGCCAGCTCCCCAGGGCTGTCAGTCTTCAGTGGCCAGAGAAGACATGTTAACAGAGGATGCAGTGTGGGTTGGTTGGATGACCATCCATGTCCACAGCTGAGACTAGGGATAGTAGGGAAGGGCTAGGAAACTGGCCTAGAAGGATTGAGTCATGGCCTTGTGTTGAGGAGAAATGAAATGAACTAATTTTTTTATTAAGAGAGTTACCCAGGGCTCAGTGGGTTTGGGCCCTCATGGGTTCACAGGCAGTTCATATCCTAATGTCCATTTATTTCCCACTTGGGGCAAGATTTGATCAGAGGATAAGGGTTGGGACACTCCTTTGTCCAGTGCTTGGATTTGCCACACTGAAAAAATGGGCTGGGCCGGGTACCTCTGAAGGGCTTCTGGGGACATCCACGACCATCTCTGACCAGTTTCTTGGCATGAATAGTAGCCACAGCCATTCATTTGAGCCTTTGCCCTGTCCCATTCTTCCCTGTCTCATTTTCTTTGAGTTTTATGACAGTCTCTCAGCTGCTTCTTTTGTAGCCCCTCAGTTTAGAAAATCTTAAAGGCAGCACTCATTAGAGTTTTAGTGGGGGGACATTGAGGCCCATCATCTAAATATCTTTATTTTTGCCCGAATGCTAGAGGCTACTTGAGAGACGAAGATGGCATTCAAAAAGAGCTTGCCATGTTCTTGCAATGGTAAATAGCGCTGCTATCTATGAACACTGGTATACGAATCTCTGTTTGCGTCTCAATTCTAAATTCCTTGGGGTATATTCCTAGCGGTGGAATAGCTGGATCATATGGAATTTCTATGTTCAACTTTTTGAAAAAGCACCAAACTGCCTTCCAGAGTGCTTGTACCATTTTATAATCCCACCAACAATGTATGAGAGTTCCCATCTCTCCACATCCTCTCCATCATTTATTGCTTACTGTCAGAGAAATGATTTTGAAAAATACTATATAACTTGAAAGAGACTAGAGAACATAATGCTAAGTGAACTAACTCAGTCTTATAAGGACAAATACTGCATAAGACCATTATTGTAAAAATAAAAGGATAACTAGTTAAATGTGTTTGGATGTCCAAGGGGGAAAATGGTGGGAGGAGAGGAGTGTGTATGGGTAAGGGATAAATCAAAGGGTCTCATATTTTGGTGGGTTGAGGAAAGAGGGTAAAGGAAGTGGCAAAGATCAGGGGAGGACCTGAAAAGATGAGGTTATGATGGGCATAGTTCAATGGTGATTGATTTTTCTAAAGGACAATGTGTGGAAATGATTATATGAGATAAAATATCAGTAAAGGAAAGTGTTACACACACACATACCAAAAAACCCCCACTATGTACATGAATGGAACACAATGCATCTGAATAATTATATGCATACCAACCAATACATTTTTTTTAAAAAAGAGTTTGTCTTCTTCTGAGGCTGGGTCTAATCTATTGTGAGCTTTGTGTGTTTCTCTCAGCCTGGCCGTGAACTGAGCTGGGCTTTCTTGAGGCCCTTGGTATGCCTCTCTGAGCTTATCAAAGTTAATTACTTTGAAGAATGCCTCGTCCAGGCCTCTCATAATGCACTCAATAAAATCAGTGCATTTTCTCCAGTCAGGATGTTTGGGATTAGTCTTCCAATGGGGATTGACTGTGAGGACTGCTCCTGGGCCAGAGGGTTGGATTTGATCAATGGTGTAAGTTTTCTTGGCTTCCGGGCCATGCAATTGCCATACCCTCTCTCCTTTTTTGAGAATTAGAAGAATTTTTAAATGGTGTGAATATCATGCCAGGTTAAATCATATGACTAGACTAAATACTTAAATTATTTCCTGAACTGAGCTGGATTGGAGAAAATGAGCCTAAGCATTTTTGTATTTGTGCATAGAACAATGAGTGAAAATGGGATATGAACTCGAATGACTCTGTTCACACCAGCGGAAGACAAGCTGGGGCTGTTATCTCGATGGGTCCTGGGAGTACGTTCAGGGTTGGGATGGAATGTCTTCTGAGGGTTTGGGCTCCGCCTCTGTGACTTCAGCACCAGGATCAGGGTCTGGGTGGTGACGGGAGGTGTTTGAACTTCAGTGGTGTCTATGTTGAGAACAGATTCAGAGTCTGCACTGGCACTTGGAGAGGCTGGCTTAAAAGATGAATAAGGCAGTGAGGGTTGTGAGTGTGCTAGGAAAATCTGATAGGTTGAGCAGGGAATGCTAAGAGGAGCAAGAGCAGAGGGAGAAGAAATGCTGGACACAGGGAACTTTTGGCCATTTGTCTGTGTATGCTCAGGTCCTGGAAAATGTTGAAAATGCAAGTGCCATTAATTAATCTAATTTATATTATGGCTAAGAAACATATGTTTTAAAATCAATGTCTTTAATTGAATATAATGTATGAGTCCTTATTTAGAAATGTTAGTTAAGTGCTCGCTTCGGCAGCACATATACTAAAATTGGAACGATACAGAGAAGATTAGCATGGCCCCTGCGCAAGGATGACACGCAAATTCGTGAAGCGTTCCATATTTTCGACCCTGAAATGATCCAGTCTCTAACGAAGGCTGACTCCTAACTCCTTTCACCTACAAATTTCGTCTTTGGATACAAACCTACGTGGATAGTCCTTGGCAGAGGGACTGTTTCAAAAGAGGCAGGGAGAAGAAGAGAAAAGGGGGGAAAAAAAAAAAAAAAAAAGAAAGATGGAGGCGGGGGCGTGTTGGTCTCCGTCAAATACATTTAAAAAAAAAAAAAAAAAAAAAAGAAATGTTAGTTAAAAGGCAGCTGAGGGGAGTATCTGCTTAGAGTTGAGGGACATTCGTCAAGGCACAAAGTAGGGCTGAGAAGGGGAGGGACAGGTTTTAGAGATTGTTGTTGTTATTGCTGTTAGTCAATTCATGGCAAAGCTATAAACAGTCTATCTGAACCTTGCTCCATCCTGTGCCATCCTCAACATCACTGACTCATTACAGCCCATTACTGAAGTTACCATGTCAATTCATCTCTTTGAGGGTCTTCCTTCCTCTCCTTTGCTGACCCTCCATCTTTCCAAGCATGATGCCCCTTTTCAAGAAACAGCCTCATGCTACATGCCCGATGTATGAGAGACAAAGCTTCACCATCTTAGCCTCCAAGGACCACCTTGCCTGCAACTTTCCCCAAGACATCTTTTTGTTCCTTTGGCAATGAGTATTCCTGAAATCAGAAACCTGTGTAGCCAGTGAGTTGACATGGAGCTGTCAGATACCCAGCACTGGGATTAATGAGTAATGAGTAATGGGTAGTAAAGATCCAAGACTCAGAGGAGGATGGGTGTGGTGCCTGGTGTAGACCAGGAGTGAGGCAGGAAATAACAGGACCAGAGGCTCCAGAGGAAGAGGAGATGGAGGGACCTTAGGTGGCAGACTGAGGATATAAGATGGCTGAGGAGCTGAATCAGCTGTTGGCACTAAGATAAGGGTACCCCAAAGCCAAAGACTGAAAGTTAACCTAGGTGAGCTCTTGGTACCCACTGCTTCTCAGGGTGTATGCTGAGGGGGCCCCAAAGCTAGACTCTGAGAGTTAGCCAGGGATGAGCTGCTTCTGCCTGCTGCTTCTCAGGTAGAAAGCTACGGGAATGAGGATGCTTGATAAGATGAAGCTGCCCATGTGCTCGAGCTTAGGCACCTGAATGATAAAGACCAGAGACCAGTCAGTCAAGACATAAGTGGTATTTATTAGACAACCCCCAATGGCACAAGGATGTCTAGAATTTTAGTGCCCTGGGGAGGCAAAAGCAAGGAGGTGGAGGCAGGGAGGGTAGTAGTGGGGAAGGTATCCTTGGCATGGACTTTCTATGACAGGAGGGTATTTAAGTTCCTGGAAGAGTATTACTTGTCATTCCAGTTGCCATGTATAAGGGAGTGGAGATGGGTATGGTTGTTATGGATGGTTTGTTGTTACGGGAATGGATCGGGTTCTGAAGTAAAATTTTAATGGCTGTCTAACCCCATTCTCAATCTGTACCAATCAACAGGTCTATAAGATGAACAATAACACCAGGGATAACTCACTTCTTAGACTAATCAACCACAGAAGATCAAAAGGACAGCATAGAGCCAGAAGGCAGGAAAGAGTAGGGCAACAGGATTAATGGAGACAAGAATCACAGGGAGGAAGTGGGAGGATTACAATTGAATTGTGTGTGTTGTAGTTAATGTAAGAAAATAAAATGTGTGTGAATAGTTGATCGGAAATCAATTAACTATGTAAACTTTGATTTGCTGACAATAAAAAGAAATAAAAGTCAAGATCATGAAAATCCTGCAAATAAAAATATGTGAGCTTCTACTAATGTAGTTCTAAAAGGAAAGTTTATAGCCTTAAGTGCTCATGTAACAACGAAAAAAAAAAAAACACTAAAAACTGCTGAACCAGTTCGTTTCCAAGTTAAAAAAAGGAATAACTTGGGGGGAGGGGAACCACAAAAAAAACAAAACAAAACAAACAAACAGTAGAAGGAAGGAAACAATAAAGATAAAGACCAGAAATTAATGGGGCAGAAAACAAAGATAAAATCTAGGGAGATCTTGGGTTTTTTGAAAAGCAGACAAACTCAACAGATTATTCCTATGAGAGACTAGAAGAGACCTGTCCATATGAAAGCACCGTCCAAGTCTCTGGGTGTTACTGTTATTGTGTCACAGAGTTGAACCTAGCTGACCCTCCAGTGTGTTTTTCACGACAGTAGTAAATGGCACATACAGTAAATCCAACTCACAGAAACTTTATAGGACAGAGGAGAACTATCACGTATTTTTTTTTAGGTTGAAGTCATTATATAAGCAGATCATTCTCCAACAGCTCAGAAGGTGAGGTTAATTGCTCACTTTTCAATTAACAGCAAAACACTTTAACCATTGAACCACCTAAGTTCTCCCCATGAAACAGAGTTGTTGTTTTCAGGTGCCTTTGAGAAGACTTAGAAAACTTGCCTGAGCCTTCAATCACTGTTGCAGCCATCAGTTCATCTCATTTAGGGTACAGCTCGTAACATATTGGACTGATAACCGACAGGCTGACAGTTCAAATCCACCAGCCACTCTATAGGAGAAATATGGGTGGTCTCCTCCTGGTCAGGATTTACAGCTTTGAAAAATCAGTACAGGACCACTGTGAGTCAGGCTTGACAGGAAGGATTTGGCAGGAGGCAGTACCAACCATAAATAAGGAAATGCCGGAAACTCCAGGGAACAAAATGAAACTATTCACCCGGTGGTAAGTTCTGTGTGAGATGCTCACGGCTCCCCTTGGCCTCTTAAGCTAGGCACAGAAGCACTCACCTAGGTTCATGGTTTCACATCTTACACATGGAACCTCCCCACCTCAAACTAAGTGGCACCCAGTTCGCAATCTACTCTCTCTCCTGTGAAGTTGATATTGGTCCTTCCTGGGCCCCCACCTGCTTTCTTGGTGGCCCACTTTTCACTTATCCTCCAGGACCTAGTCATGGTGGCACTCCAATTCTGTACACTCTTCAGTCCTTGCCCAAAGGCTTTGCGCACAGCTGAGGAGGAGAAGTAGAAAATTAAGGGATCGATGCAAGCATTGAGAGCGCTGAACAGCACGGCGCAGGAACGCCAACTTTGACTTTCCTCCTGGAAGTATCCCACCACGTGAGACACATTGTAAGGCCCAAAACAGACCAGGAAATTGAAGAGTGTCACAGCAGCCAGCCCCACGGCTCTCCAGCGCTTCTGGGCCCCCACTTGGGGCCTGGAGAGCACGATGCTCACAAAACGCCAATAGCAGAAGATGGTCACGGCCATGGGAACGAAGAAGAGGACCAGGCACAGCTCCAGCCGTACAGGCAGCAGCACGTCCAGTTGCTCTCGGGTGAAATTCTCATAGCAGACTCGGAGGCCTTCGGGACGCCCGGTGGGCAAGTACTGGATGACGATCACGATGGAACAGTGTCCGAAGGACAGAACCCAGGACACCGCCGCAGCGATCACACCGTACACAGGCCTCCGGGAGAGCTTGTACTGCACGGGGAAGGCCACGCTGCGGTAGCGCTCAACGCTGATTCCCGCCAGCAGCCACGTGCTGCAGTAGATGGCACTGTAGAAGCCGTAGCCAGTGAGCGCGCAGGCTGCGTTGCCCAGGATCCACAGAGAATTGTTGGTGGCCTCAACCATCTTGAAGGGCAGCAGCAGAAGGAGCAGGAGGTCCGCCAGCGTCAGGCTGAGGAGGAGGATGTGGATGGGTGCAGGGTCAGGCTGACGGACCCTCCCTATAAAGGCCCGCAGAGCCAGAAGGTTGGCGGGCAGACCAACGAGAAAGGATATGACGTAGATGAAGAGAAGTCCCAGGTTTCGGGGTTCTAGGGGCATCTTTTCTGAAGAGACAAAAGACGAGGTGTCAGATCCTGTCTGATGAATGGACTTCCCAGTGCCACACCAAAGCTAATTCATCCTCAGCCTCTCTGCTTGAATCACCGAATGATATCACTAACACTTGCAGAAAGCTCTGCAGGCTTAGGGGTTAGGAATTACACTGCTAACCCAAAGGTATGCAGTTCAAATCCACCAGCTGCTCCATGCAGAAAGATAGGCAATCTCTGTGACTTACTGCCTCTGAAGGTCAGGTATGAGCTGGTTCAGACTTGATGGTACACAACAAGAACCCTTCAGTCTGTGTCTGCCTCTATGTGTCACGCCAGGGGCAGGGGTGGGGTCTCCTTGTTCCCTTACAGAATTGTTATTTTTTTTCCCTCTTCTTGCTTATATTCACTCTCATAAGAAGTTTGATGTCCCCGAAACTCCCACAAGAAAAGCTCTGAGGTCTCCAAGTTCATAAAAATAAAAAATGGCAGTTCAGGAAGACAGTGTAGTCTTCTACCTTGTCTGGGGTCATATTCCATGTACCTAGAATTGTGACTAGCACATAGGAAGGAGGTACTCAAGTTATAACATCTATTGAGATTGTAAAAAAATATGAAAGAACTAGCCATTTTATCACAAAGATAGTAAATTGAGACTGTCTCTGAGTTTGCCCTAGTATAAATTCTAGCCAGTGAGCCTAAGTAACTAAGGCATCTTTCTCTCTGCCCCCTTTTTTTGCTGTCCTGAAAGTATTGGAGTTGAACACAAGATTCTCAGCTCACCTCTGAAAGTGGACATTTGTTTATGCCTGAGAGAAAAGCAAGTGTATCCACAGTTACTTCCAGATGTGCAGCCTCTTGAGTCCATACTAACCCCTTCAAAGAAAACTTGTAGGTGTGGATGGAATATTGAAGTAATACCCTCTGATCTCCTTTCTATTTGCACCACATTAGAACCTATGGTTTTACCAGGGCTATTAACTGTTTTAATAATCATCTTCAAATTCACTCTCTTTCTCGGAGAAAGCAGATAGGCATGAGACTCAGGGAAATAAAGAGGTTTCGGTGAAATCCAGAGGTTTCTTTAATACCCTCCATTATCATTAAAATGTAGACACATGATAAAATTTGAGTCTTTAAACTGTTTCTAGGACCTGACCTGGACACCAAGACTGAAATGTCAACCATGCTTCAGAAAAGTCACATAACTCTGGGAAGCCACTCTAAGGATCAGTGTCCTCTGATCTTATTTCCATTTGCAGCACATAGAACACATGGTTCACCAGGGCTATCACCGTTTTGATTACCTTAAAATGTGTTCTCTCCTTTGGAGAAAGCACATAGACCTGAGATTTAGGCAAATCAAAAGGTCTCTTTAGTTTTCTCTATTGTCATTAACATGTAGACTCATAATAAAACTGGAGTTGTTGACCTCTTTCTGATATTATATTACTGATGACCCATCAGAAGATTTTATTCCCATATTTGAGAATCTCAGAGACAGGTAGAAAATCAAGGAAACTCTCTGTCTCTGTGGATCTGAGCTTATCTTTGGCACTCTCCACCCTCACCTTCCCCAAGGTCCACATCAGCATCATCTCACCAATAGACTTTTGCTGACCCCTTTCCCATTTTAGTAATCTCCTCACTCTCCTCCTTGGAATATAAGTCCCTCATCTCCCTCCTTTTCATAAAAGCTTATCCACACATATTCATATTACTCTAGACCTTCCTGAAGTTTCTTCCCTGAGCATCAGCAAATTGAGAGTCTTGCCTTTTCCTGGAGGGAGATGATGGCGTTTCAATACGGCCAGCCTCTGAAGCAGGTGGAAACGTTGGCTAACTGGATCACTTCATTCTCTCCTACTTTTATACCTGGAAATATTGTGTAGTCAAAAAAAGGAAGGTCAATAGGTAAACTTTTTCTGAGGCACTTTGATCCACCTGATTCCATACAAAATTTTCTCTTTAACAGACTTAATTTCTTTTTCGCAGAATCCATACCAAAAGTATTCTTTCAGGTTTCTTTCTAATTTTGTTTTTCATGTCACCTATTGTGTTACTTTTCTGTGGGTAATTATCTCAGACAGCTTCATACATGCTTCAACTTCTCACGCCCTCAGTTTTTTCCTCACCTGTTCCTTTCCCATATCTCCTCTTAAGGCCTCTGACCCAGACAGTTTCCTGGGTTATTTTCTTTCTCTCTCTCTCTTTCTTTTTCCTTCAAGAGGAACATCTCAAGCATTGGTTGACTTCCTCTAGTAACTAAGCCCATTCTTACAAATTATGACCACAGAGCAGATAATCTAGAAAAGGTCCAAGGGGAAGTGGAAGTTGAAGCTAGGTCTAGGTCTGCTTTCTCAGTGCGCGTGGGCTACCTGGGTCATGTGTCCTCTCTTCTTACTGTTGATCTCCCAGCAAGCTTTATAGGTTCTACATTGTTCCACTATGTCTGGTAATGCCTTTGAGTAAACACGTGAGTATACAGAGACACAGGGTGTGTGTGTGTGTGTGTGTGTGTGTGTGTGTGTGTGTGTGTGTGTATGTATGTGTGTATTTCAATGATCCTACCAACCAAGGCTCTCGTCATTTTCTCTTGACCCAACCAGTTTTGTCCTCTTGAAAGAATCATGTGTCATTTAGCTCTTTACTCACTGGTCCTAAGTCTTCAGCTTGGGACCTACTGGGCTCTCTACATTCCTCCCTAACTCACATGATCCTTGTTCTAAAATGGAAACTCAAGAAGTTGTTTTGATTGCTTAATGCTCCTGAAATGTAGGCAACACAATTGTTTTATTCTCTCCCATATTTATCAATGCCATTTTTCTTTCTGCATTTGACTGAACAATAAAATTACTTAGAAAGGCAGATATTACTAGACAACCCTAAAAGCTAGAGGAGGGTCTTTTTTCCACATTCTTATTTCCAGACATGCATAGCTGATTCCCAGCCCAGAGCAGGATCACATGGTAATTTCAGACAACACTTTGAGAACTATATTAAACTATATTCATGTGGTTGGATGGCCATTGGTGTTGTCATTGTCGTCATGTGTCGTTGAGTCGCTTGCAACTCATAGCAACCCTAGGTACAACAGCCCTAAACCCTGCTCTGTCCTGTGTCAATTTCACGGTCTCCAACACACCCACTCCAATTACTCCTGTCATTGAATCAATCCATCTCATAGAGCGTCTTCCTCTCCTGTGCTGTCCCTCCACCCTCCCAAGCATGACATCCTTCTCCAAGGACAGGTCCCTCCTTACAACATGTCCAAAGTATGTCAGATGAAGCCTCAGAATCCTTGCCTCCAAGTAGCAGCCTGGTTTAACCCTCTCCAGGGTGAACCTGTTCCTTTTCCTAGCAGTCCATGGTACTTCAGCACTCTTCTCCAACACCACAGCTCAAAGGCATCAATTCTCCTTCTATCCTCCCTAGTCATTGTCCAGCTCTCTGATGCATAGCTAGTGATTGCAAAGACCATGCATATATCAGGCTCACCTTAGTCTCCAGAGTGACACCATTACATTGGCTTTTTTCTTTATGAGTGATATTTCAAGGACTAAATGGAAAAAAATAGGGAAATCAACTGAAAGGTCCATGATCTTACATTGAAATTTCTAAGTGAATACTCAATTAATAAACATATAGTATATCATTTCCAAGGAAGTAGAAGAAAAAGTGAAGTGAGAAAAAAATTACTTAATACCAAGGAAATATAAGAAGGGAGGAAAAAAAGGAAAGTATTAAAACATGGGAAACATAGGAAAAGAGAACAAAATAAAGTGAGATATTTTTCTTTTTTCCACTTCAATGGACATTGTGATCATTTATCTGGCTTCTATACTTAATATTTGGTCAAAGATTTTGCATGTTTCATTAAATGCATACACACAACGAAAGTTTTTATATATAAGATGGCAGAAATAACGCTAAATATATTTAAATGAACAAAGCAGTAGAGTTAAAAGACAAATATTACCAAATCTTTAAATGTTATTGTTGTTATGTGTCACTGAGTCAGAATTGACTCATGCTCTATCTTCCAGTAGGTTGTCAGGCCGTCACTCACACAGAAGGAGACTGCCCATCTTTTTCCTTTGGAGCAGCTGGTTGAATCGGGCTGGCAGCACAACGCCTTACAACTCGGCTACTAGATCTCACTAAACCTTTAGAATCGGTATTTAAAATCTAATTATTAAATTTACTTATTGTAAAAAGATACATCTACAAAGCTCAATATCAAGAAAACAAAGATTCTCACCACTGGGCTGATAGGGAGCATTATGATAGATGGTAAAAAAACTGAGATTGTTTGCTTGGCTCCACACTCAACACCCTTGGTACAAGCAGCTAGGAAATCAAAAGATTAATTACATTGGGAAAATCTGCTGTCAGGGACATCTCCAGAGACGTGAAAATCAACGATGTCAGTCTGGAGACTAAGGTGAGTTTGATGCAGACCATAGTCTTCACAATTACTTACTATGCATCAGAAAGCTGGACAATAACTAGGAATCATAAAAAGATAATTTATCCCTTTGAGCTCTGGTGCTGGAGAAGAGTGCTGAATATACCATGGACTGCTAGGAGAACAAACAGGTTCATCCTGGGGAGGCTGAAACCAGGCTGTTCCTTGGAGGCAAGAATTCTGAGGCTTTGTCTGACATACTTTGGGCATATTTCAATGAGGAATCTGTCCCTGAAAAGGATATCATGCTTGGAAGGGTGGAAGGAAGTGCAAGAGAGGAAGACTCTCAATGAGATGGATTGAATCAGTGACTGAGGTAATGGGGGTAAACTAAGAAAACAGAGGATAAATAATGAACACTGTGTTTAAATAGATGAGGGTAAGAATGTCTAAAAGAAATATTATATAATACAGAGTGTGAAAACTATAGGAAAATATCATTGATTTCACATGCAAGCAAGATTCTACTGACGATTATCCAAAAACAACTGGAACAGCACTTCAGCAGAGAACTGCCAGAAGTTCAGGCTGGGTTTAGAAGG